TTTCGGGTTGCTTAAAGTAAGATGCAGCAAAGACAAAAGGGATATAGGGCCCCCTAGACCCAACCTGGGAATCAAAAGGGTGCACTTTTTGGTTTAGAGGGACTTATGACCCTAAACCCTAAAGACAGAAGGATTCAGGGCCTACTCTGGGTCCTAGCCCCTGTTGTGGTTGCAGTTCTTGCAGGCAGCGTGCTGTGTTTTTTTTCTTGGGCTCGTTCCATGTCAGGCCCAGCCGCTGCATGCACCGGAACTCAGGCGCGGCCGCACCCTGCAGAACGGCCTCCCAGAAGTCCACCTGGTAGAGGTTTACGATAGGAGCCTAAATGATTAGAGTAGGGTTTCGGGGGTAATTGTGGTATAATTACAAAGGGACCATAAGGGAATACCATTAGTAATTCTTCAGACCAATATATTATGGTTTTAGGGTGGGGGTCTGGGTTAGGGGTTAGGTGTAGCTTGAATCGAAGGCGGTTTGTAAGGTTTTTTGGGTGCTGGGACAGCCGTGCTTCAGAAGTGGGCTTGAGGCCTCGTAGCTCTTGGGCTCTTCAGCTCTTTCTCGGGGCATGTCTCGAGCTTTCCAGGGTGGAAACTGGAAAGAAATGGAAGCACGTCGCGCGCCCTGAACAAGGCCCCCTCGAAGACGACAAGACTTTGAAAGCTCCAAAGCCCTTAAAACCCTAAACAAGTACCACCCTAAAACCCTATGTAAACCCTAAATTTATCCTAAACCCTAAAACCTAAACCCTAAACCCTAAACCCTGAAACCTAAACCCTAAACCCTAATCCCTTGAAACCCTAAGCCCTTAGGCCCTTAGGCCTTGAACATGGCACTGAACCCTTCCACTGTGCCCTTGCCTGAAAGTCCCATTCAGGATCCTCCTTGGCGGCTCTTGCAGCGCTCTTCCCTCGACCCTGAACCCTAAACCCTAAGGTTTGGGTTCAGGGTCTCGGGTGTGGGGTCGAGGGAGGGGTTAGGGTTTAGGGTTTAGGGTTTGGGGTTTAGGCTTTAGGGTTTAGGGTTTAGGGTTTAGGGTTTAGGGGTTAGGGTTTAGAGTTTAGGGTTTAGGGCTTGGTTTAGAGGCTTCGGGCTTCGGGTCGCCTACTACGAGGCTGAGTTCCGGGGACAAGGTTCTCCTCCAGGTTTTTGGGGCGTCCGCTGATGCGCGGCTCAATGTGACTCACTCACTCCCTCATGCCTACAGCTCGGGCTTCGGGGGGTGTAGGGTTTAGAAGCAACAGGTGGTTCCGGGCCCATTTCTCTACAGCAGCACGGGGTTCGGGATACGGTTGAGGTTCAGGGTGTCGCCACCCAGACTCTAAACCCCAACCCCCTGCCCCAACATGCGGAAACCCTTGATCACGAACGCCCGTGTGCATCAAAACCCTCAAGCTCTGACCTCCCTAAGCCCCAAGCCTGTAAAACCCTTAAAACCCTTCAGACCCTAAACCCTAAAACCCTAAAGCCCTTCAAACCCTCCAAGGCCCAGAAGACCAAAATGCCGAAACCCCGAAGCCGGGGGGCCGTCAGAATCGCCTTCTCGATCTCCTTCCAAGAGCGGGTTTAGGGTCTAGGGTTTAGGGTTTAGCGGTAACCTATTGAGTAGAGTCTGCATTTGGCAGGAGATTTTTAAAAAACAATCGGGGTTCGCGCCGCAATTCCCAATTTTGATACTACTGCTGTTGGCTGTGTTGGTTGGGGATCTGCGGGCTCGCGGACAGCTTGCTTTCTAGACAGGTGCAGGGGCCATGGGGTTTAGGGTTTAGGGTTTCGGGTTTAGGGTTTAGGGTTCTACAACACCCTCAACCCAAAATGGGACAAAAACATGTCCAAACCCCCCCAAAGCCCTACCAGCTTGATCTTTACTCATCTGCAAGTCGGACTCAAGTACGGGTGATGGCAAAGACTTATAGACCCTGACCCTAACCCCTAAACCCTAAACCCTGAGCCCTAAACCCTAAACCCTAAACCCTAAACCCTAAACCCTTTCACCGCGCCTGCAAGGTAAGGTCCACGAAGGAGAGCGTGCGGCGTATCTGATGGCCCTGGCAGTGACTAGCAGGGTCGTGAGTGGACTGCCCGTTCCCTAAACCCTAAACCCTAAACCCTAAACCCTGTAAACCCTAAACCCAAAAGCAGTCTTCAAAACCCTATGCACCTTCCATCAATTTTGGTGCAACATATTCGCTGTTTGAGGCCAGCGGGGACGGCCCTGAACGCTGGAGCCTTAAACCCCAGAACCGAAATCCTGGTCAAGAGCTTGGCATTTTTTGTTGTCCTCAAAAGAGGGCACTGGGCCGCATAAGCCATACAAGTTCAGCTTCTGGAATACAAATCCTAGACCCTCAACCTTATAAACCCCATGAAGCCCCTGAGACCCTTAAACTAACACAGCACAGGTCGTTTCGCATTCTTCTACTCATCCAAAGCGGGTCATGAAATGCGTCTTGGGGTCACCGCCTCAAGTCCAAAGCAAAAAAAAGCTTCCTATACACGAGATGCGCGTATAAAACCGCGTTTACCTGAATGGAAAAGCCAAGTTCGCGCACATTTTGGCGGTAGCCGCGCCGGCGCTTTGCTAACGAGGCAACCACTGCTTTCCAGCCAAAGACGTGCCCCAAAATTGTTCCGGAGTGGAGGGAGTGGGAGAGGTTGGGCCGGGGAAGGCGGGGAGTGCGGAGTCGTGGGATTGCGGAGCGGGGGAGTGTGGAGTGGTGGATATCTAGAAACTCAAACATCCCAGAGGCCAGCGGTCCAAGCCTAACCGGAGACAAGCCAGCCGTCGAATCCAGCAGTTCAAAAAATCCGGAGGCCACTGGTCCAACTCCGGTTATGCGAACTTGGGGCCAACTGGCTGAATGCTTGCTTCTCCTTAGACTCAGAGCATGAAGCTGGCCCCGTACCAAACGCCACACTATCGGGGGGCCGCCTGTCGTAAAGTTGGCATAGATCATGGTTTGGGATGTTCCCCCCCTATACTAACAGTCCTTAGTGGGACTATATTTGGGGGGTACACTAAGGACTGTTAGTATAAGGGGTAACATCCCAGATCATGGTTCGTGCCCCCTCTAGGTAGCTAAAATGTATAGACAAGGCTTTCTGAGTATATAAGCCCGATGAGCCCCGAGCTCTTGGAATCCAGATTCAAGCCCTAAACCCCTAAACCCCTAAACCCCTAAACCCCTGAACCCCTAAACCCCTAAACCCCTAAACCCCTAAACCCCTAAACCCCCTACACCCCTAAACCCCTAATCCCAGCCTCTGACTTTGGCGAGTCGTGGTCGGATTCGTGCCGCTTGGCGGCTGCCTCCTGTCGCCAAGCCCCCCAAGCTATGGCGTTCAGGTTTCATGGTTGAAGGTTTAGGGTTTAGGGTTTCGGACAGAGCTAGGGTTTAGATGCCCGCCCCCACCCTGGCCAGACACACTTTCATGCCAGGTCTTTCGTCCAAGGACCTCAAGACCTCAAGATCATGTCCTCAAGGGTTCGTAACCCTAAACAGCCTAAACCCTAAACCGCCTAAGTCCTAAACCCTATATCCTAAACGCCAAACCCTAAACCCTAAACTCCACAGTTCACAGGTCTGGTTCCTTTGCTGCCGAGTTGCCGGAATCTCTGGGATTGAAGACCGGGCCCCCAAGCGGGAGCCCGGACGTGCTGCCTGGCTGGTGGAGGGTCGCCGGAGGCTACCCGCACGAGAGCCAGGGCGGCTGCCGGAAAGGTCCTGCAAAAAAAACCCCTCAACCCTCAACCCTAAACCCTCAACCCTAAACCCTAAACCCGAAAACTCAACAAAGGGCTTTTAGGGGTGACTGGGCGGGGGGGGCTTCGGGAAAGTTCACGGCCAGAAGGAGTTTCGGTACTTTCCAGTTCTCACCAGGGATTTCAGGAGTTTTAGTAATTGCCCCTGTTTTACCCCAACGTCTAACCCTTTGAAAGGGCTTCTGTCGCGTGCCTCGAATTCCCTCATGCCCGATCAAGAGTCAGTATGGTTAGGATTCTTATTCGCACATACGCAGATGGGCCGGGTGACGGAAGGGTACCATCGATCGTGCGACAACAGAAGCCGAAGAACAAACAAAACAAATGTGGCTGAGGAGTTTCCCGCACATGTGCCCCTGCACTAACCCTGTACGCCCTACAGGCCCATACTTTATAACTGAACCCTAGACCCTAAACCCTAAATCCTAAACCCTAAACCCAATAAACCCTGAGGCCCCCCCTCCTCCGTGGCTGTGGACGGCCGTCTCGTGATGTCGTGGGCTTTGACGGCCTCGGCCGTCCATGGCCGCGCAGATACCGGCTGGCTTGCGGGAGTTGGAGCCCCTCTCCTGGCATGGCTTTAGCTCTTCTGGCTGGTTCTTAGAGGGAATGAGGGAGTGTGGCACCCTATATACTCCCTTAAAGGGTATATAGGGTACCTCATTCCCTCGTTCCCTACTTAGAACCAGGGGGTCTTAGGGTGGTTCCTGAATATGGGCCCCTTGTATACCCCATTCCAGCCCATACTTCAGAACCCCTTAAGGGAGGAAGGGAGCATATTAAGGGCCAATGTAACTACCCTTAACTTAGAGTGGTTGAGGGGTAAGGGTCTGCGGGCTTCAGTGATTTTTTAGGCTCTTCAGGGTACAATCAAATCTGGGAAACCCTGAGCCTAAAGGCCACAAAACATCTGAGCTTGTTTAGAAAAGATTGGTGCGGGTTTCGACGTTTATCGCCTCGGAGCTCGGTTGGAGTTTAGGGTTGCAAGCTTCAGGGTATAGCTTTTCGGGCGCCCAGGCGAGATGCCCATGGTTCAGGGTTCAGGACACCCGCTCAGTGAGGGTACCTTAAGCCCCGAAACCCGGTGAGGGCAAGTCCAAGACCTCCAAGCAAGGCCTCAAGCGACAAGAGCCCTGCAGCCTTTTCCTCTTCGCGCCCAGATGTCGGCGGTTAGTAAACGCTTTCGGGAGTATCACCAACTCGCGCGACCACGCGAATCATATCTTCCATGCCTTCCATGCCCTACCCGGCACCCATGCTCCCATCTCCATCAGCCCAGGTACCCATGTATGGCCGAGGCCGGATGTGCGCCAGCTGAACCCGTCCGGTACGTTGGCAGCGCACGCTGGCCAGGATCGTCGCAGAAGTGATCAGGCCTGCCAAGGACAGCATCAGTCCTGGCCCATATGGCCTTGGTAGCCCAGTAGAACCATCTCATCTCGAGGGTACACTTTTTTGGGGTTGGTTACTGCATAACTTAAGGAAATCTAGGATCAGAGCGCCCCCCCCCCCCCCCAAAAAAAAAAAGTAAACAAATAAATAAATAATAATAATCATAATAATAATACTAATAAACAGCAAAAAAGGGCAACAGGGCACCACTGGGCTACTGAGCGGCGTCCACTCGAGAGATGCTTCGGCGAAGAGGGGAGCAAAGCCGCCAAAGAGGCCGAAGCCAATGTTGTAGCTCACCTTAGGGGACCAAATGAACCCCAAAATTGGGGAAAATGGGGGGGGGGGGGGGGAATATACCCTATACCATTATAGTCCTAAAATTGGGGGGGGGGGGGGGGGGGCCATAGACCCTATACTATTCTAGTCCCTATTGAGGTATATGAACCATAAACGCTTTGAGGGCTCATTTGGTCCCCAAGGCACCCCCACTCCCAAGTTGCGGACCGCCGTGGGGAAAAGCTCAGCGCAGTACAAGTAGACCGTGAATTGCAGGCTCGTCACTAAGCCTGGGCGTGCGAATCTTACGAGGGGGGTGAGGTGAGGGGGCCAAGGGGGGGGGAGGGGGGGAGGGGGGGGCAAGCTCAAAGCGATGGTTGTCAAAAGGAGAAACAGTTGTATGGACTAAGCCCGTTCAGAAGCTTGAGGCAACCGTATACGTGGCAAACAGGTTTGCAACGCTCCCAGGATCAGAAGCTAAGGCCATGAAGAGAGGCAAGCCGGCTGCAGTCTGAGCGATTGCGCCAGCGAGCATGAGCAAGCCCGTGCCGTATATGTCAGCCAGCCAGCCAACCGGAAGCGCCAAAGCCATCTGGAGCAGTCTTGAGCAAGTCCCTGCCAGCATTAAGTAGTCCGGCGGAGCCCCGTGCTTCTTCAGAAAGGAATTCATCCAGACCAGACCACCATACTGAAAGACTGCAAAAGACATGACCCCCCCGATGCCGATCATGACAGCGGAGAAGTGGGTACAAGCAAACTCCATCAACTGTCGCCTCGTGGACTTCCTGTCTTTTGGCCGGCCAACTGCCTCGTTAAGATCATTGTCGCTGTCACTGTTTGAAATCTCAGAGTGGGCATGCTCTTCCTCGAAGAGCTCAGATTCCCGCAAGCAAAACAAACGCCCCCAAACGCTGACCAGTCCGGGGACGATGGCCAGAATGAAAGGCCAACGCCACGCCCAATCCAACATGCTGCCCTCACCAAAGTGAGACTGGAAAGCCCAAACGACCAGCCTTGCCAGCATGAAACCGGCATTGGCCGTTATGGAGATACATGTGACGCAGCGCCCCATGGAGCGGCGAGGTGAGACCTCTGTGATGTAAGTTGTTACAGCTCCTATCTCACCACCTGTGCAGAGCCCCTGCACGAGGCGAAGAAAAAATAGCAGACCAACGCCTAGGTCAGCCATGCCACTGTCGTTCCCCCACAGCCGGGGCGTTGGGAGCAATCCTTGCCCGACTGTAGCTGCCAACATGCCGATCACAGAGACAATCACCGCCATCTTGCGGCCAAAGGTATCGCTCAAGATCCCAAGGAACCTGGCTTCCCCAGTAACCTAGGAGAAAAAAGTGCACCCTTGTTGGTTTACAGGGGTTTATATGGGATAAGAACCCAATAAAAAGGGAATAAGGGTACTACTGGGCATCCTAGGAACATTCCGCCCAAGGGACGCGCCGCGAAGGTCGCTGTAAACCCCAACCATGTCGCCAAGGCAGAACCTCTGAAGAAGTTCCTTTCCATGTAGCTTTCCATGTAACCTTACAATCTGAGTTCACAAAGCTACTTAAGGGAGATCCTCAGTTAGCTGGCCGGGAGCCAGAGGCAGAATAAGCCCACGTCTACAACATTGCAATTGCAAGCTTCATAGCTCTAGCAACAAGCAAGCAAGAAAGATGGCCCAGGGGGCAACCTTGGCTGCACTGCCTCACTAAACCGAGTACCAGTATCAGGGTTCTTGGGTTCGGGGCTTAGGGTTTAGGGTGTTTTAGGGTCTAGGGTTTAGGGTTTAGCGTTTAGGGTGAACCCTCCAAGACAAGTTGCCATACACGGCGAACTCGTACCATTCTAAGGTATTGCCAAGCAAAACTGGCCAGTAGTTGCGCAGGAGCATCCACAGGTCATTCCCGGAACCCATTGCGCAAAAAGGCAGGCACGTACTTCTTGGCGTAAATAATGCACACACACACACACGCATGTGTATCAACATATATATATATACACACATGCATATACAAATATATGTATGTGCGTATATCTGTACATCTATATTATACGTGTTCTGTTCTGTGCGGACAGTAGCTATATTATACGTGTACATATATACACGCACAACATTGCAGATGGCGAGCGCTGATGGTAAGCAGATGGATATATGGACAGATATGCATGTGCATATGCATACTACAATGAGCGGTCGCGCAGACGCGGTGGGCTCTAACATCAGCATTCAGCTCACTCTCCACGCATTCAAAAAAGGTCCAAACCGTTCACGATCAGCGACTCGTTCATCAAGAGGGTGAAATATTGCGCAATCAGACTTTTAAACTCTCTGAAGAATGATTCAGAAAACAGATCCACTTAGACCCCAGTAGGGATCATAAAAAGAGTATTGGAAATTTTCAGCTAGTTCAGGCGATTGGGGGTTTGAGGCATCCTGGCCATCAAGAATGGATCCTAAACTCTTGAACCTGGGCCTGTGCCGAGCCGTGAGGTTGGGCAAATAAACCCATAACTCACCCAACCCTGTTAATCACACAATCTTAGGGTCGTTCCATGGTCCCTTAGTATGGGCCCTTAAACCGGGATCCTCGTATATACCCCTGAAATATCCCCTAACCCCCCACTTGGGCCGACACCACTACTCCTTAGATGCACACAAAAACCACAACCCCCCCCCCCCCCCCCCCCCCCCCGAGTTTTGCCCCCAGTTCGCCTTGTGGGCTTGGGCGGATGGCGCCCCGCATGTCCCAATGACATGGGCGGTAAGGCCCCAGGGCGCGCAACATCCACGGCTGAGGTTTAGGGTTGAGGGTTTAGGGTTTAGGGTTGAGGGTTTAGGTCTTAGGCTACCTTTTTCGGGGCTTACGAACAGAACAGACCCCAAATATAGACCCCCAAATAGTAGGATCCCCTTACAGTAAGAACCCCAAAAAGGTACCCCTATTTTCGGAAACTCCTATTTTTTAACAGCACTTGTGAAGTTCAGGGGGTCTGCCAGGGGAATTCTGGCGATGTGGGGGGGGCTTTCGGCGTGCTTTGAAGGTTGGTGGTCGAGGGCTGAGGGTTTAGGGCTCTTAAAGTTCTTTGGGCTTTTGGGCTTCTTAGGGTTCTTAGGGTTCTTAGGGTTGAGGGTTTAGGTTAGTTGCAGGGTCAACAGGGCTTGTGGTCAAGAAAAATGTGCCACAGGAAACTCGGACAAGATAGAGACGGAAGCGGCTGGAACACTGTGCCCTGAATTCCTAATCCCCTGACAACCCCAAGAGCCGAATCCCCTAACAACCCCACACCTTAAATCTCCAATCCGATCCCTAAGAACCCTAAATCCTTGAACCCTACAACCCACAACCCGAAATCACTAAACCCGAACTAAGGAGCCCTGAGGACAAGGATGGTCATAACCTTCGAACGGCACCTTCCTGGCCACCCCGGAACTCGGACTCCTAACCCTAAACCCTAAACCTTCAACCCTAAACCCGAAACCCTAAACCCTAAACCCTACACCCTAAACCCTAGCCCTAAACCCTAAACATCAAGCCCCTGTAACGTGACATTAGTCCAAAAGTCCCAAAAAGACTTTCTTCGACACTTTCCCCGGACCTGAACCCTTAAATCATTTCACTAAACCCCAAACCCTGAACCCTGAAACCCAAAACCCTCAACCCCAAACTCCCGAAACCCGGAACATTGAACTCACTAAACCCTGAACCCGGAACTCTGAAACCCGAACCCTATAGAAGCCAACAGTCCCTACGCCCAAGGAGTTTCCTTTAGGGTTTAGAGTGCATGGGCACGAAGATGGGTTTATATACATCCGAACTGGGTCTGGGGTAGCCATGCGGACATTAAGAATGGCCAAGAGAAGCACGTAGGGCCTGTAGGGTTTATAGGGCTTTTCGGGTATATAATATAACTCCTTGAGCCCTATAAACCCGAAGAACACGGCTTATCAACTAGAAAGCCTTTTAGGAATGGGAGGGTAAGGCCCACAAAGCTCAAAGCTCTCGCCCTAAACCCTAAACCCTAAACCCCAAACCCTAAAACCTAAACCCGAAGCCCTAAACCCTAAACCCTAAACCCTAAACCCTAAGCCCTCTTTTTCCCCTCCTCTCACTGCACCGCGCAGCAGCGGCGCGGGCTCTGCGACCGCGCGCCCCGCAGCGGGGAGGCGGAGGAGGTAGCCTCAGAGGGTAGAGGGTTTAGGGTTTAGGGTTTAGGGGTTGAGGGTTTAGGGGTTGAGGGTTTAGGGGTTGAGGGTTTAGGGGTTTAGGGTTTAGGGGTTTAGGTTTCAGGGTTTTGGGGTTAAGGGTTTAGGTGGGGTCCGGAATGTGAGGGTGTGTCAGTTACTTTAACTCGAAGCAACCGCTGCACCAGCATCCGCGGATTTGTCGATGGTGGTGGCTAGGGAAAGCCCTCAACACCTACAGTCTCAAACCATAAGCCCTAAACCCTAAACCCTAAGCTAAGCCCTACACTTCCTAAACCCCTGAACCCTAAACTCTAAACCCTGAACCCTGAGCCCAAAACCCATAACAACCCTGCCAGGCTCCCGTTCTTTCGATATGCGGTTCCCT